TGGATGTTGTGTTACAGTAAACACAGCACAGACATCCTGAGGGAAGAACAGTGTTCTTCCTCCATGCTAATCGCAGTGTACACCAGTGAGCTTCATCACCTCTGAGGACACGTCACATCTGTCACAAGTGGGTTGACGTCAAAACCCAACATTGTTTGAGTGGAGACCGTCCTCCTTTAAGAAATGAGTCCAAAGTCCACGTTAGGAGGAGGTTGTGGTGGATGGATGAATATGACACAGGAGAGCGGTGTTTGATTCCCGTGTAAATATTTATGTTGTGACCGTGACAACAAAGATCATCTAATGTTGAGGAAGCGATTATTTTAATTCAAATCACCATCTTTTCCTAAACCTAACTAAGCCATGACTGTTATTATAGTTACCATGGTAACAAAGGGAGGTACGCTGCTCATGGTACATTCCGTGTGTTTATTAGTGTAACCATGACATGCCATTTCAGGAGACGCTTCTATGGTCCTAGCTAGAGTCTGACTGATATTGGATTTTTGGGGCCGATGCCGATACTGATATTAGGGAATTAAAAAAATTCCAATGTCAATGTATCGGCCAATAAACACTTGTGAAAAAGATATGTAATGAAAGCAGGATATTTTACAGTTTAACAATAAACTTTATTGTCCAAAATGACATTGAAACGGTAAACTTGGGGAGTTTAATTGAATAAAATAACTATAAAAATGAATAAATATAAATAAAAAACATAAGAACAAATATATATATATATATATATATATATATATTTAACTTGAATGAAAACAAGGGATCAAATATACATAAAATGCTGTCTATATAACTTGACTTGATCCGAGCATTTCCACTGCATTATTGCTTCTGTAAGAAGGAGAGGTTCCGCAGGTCCTTCATTCCAGCAGCTGTCAGACTCCACCACTCCTGCTCTTCCTGACTATGTGCAAACTTGCACTTTTTTATGTACATATCGTGTGTATTGTGTATATTGTATTTATTAGTGTATATTTGGTGTATTTTTGATGTATATTTCCATAGATGTTTATTCTATAGATGTTTATTTTTCTGCTGTGGTAAATGAATTTCCCAGTTGTGGGATTAATAAAGTTAATCTAATCTAATCTAATCTAATAAAAGTATGCATTTCAGCTCTTATCGGAGAATATATCTGCCAATATGATATGTCTGTGATAGGCCAATATCGGCCGATAAATCGGTCTAGCTCTAGTCGTAGCAGACGTTTAGCAGACGCTTAGTTGGGTCATGACCACGATGTCAGTATTTATGTCGCATGTCGCATGTCGAAGTGTTTGGCAGATGTTAGATTTTGGTTATGCAACAACACAACTTAAAGCACAACAAAATATGGACATCAGCTGTGGTCAGTTACTCTATGTCAAACTGACGTCCTGACGTCACAACCTACATTCCTACATTCAACCAGATTTTACTGTGTAACGATGTTGGTGTCCAGCTGACAAAATGTCACTTTATCTGATGTGTTAGATAAGTAGCTGTTGACACAGCCTCATGAAACATCACATGTATATTCCCTGTCTACACAAGCTGGGTTTCCAGAGAAGAGATGGAAGCTGACTCATAGCTTTGCTTCCAGCCAGAGTTTATCTAGAAACACCCAGCTGTCACTACAACACACACACACACACACACACAGACAGAGAACTGTTGTTGAAGTGTGAAGAAGTGAAGTGTTGAGTAGTTCTCTTTGTTATCCCAGAACCCTCATGCTGTGATCTGACCACTGAACAAATAAAAAACTTCAAATAACCACCCAATATATATATATATATATATACATACACATATATATATACACATATAATTATATGTGCAAAACACTCTCTGGCTCGTGACGCCTTCAGACACAGTGACTTCCTGTGGATACGTAGCTACATATGGTGAACAGCTCAACCAGAAAATGATCCTGTCTTCTCAGCTGGTTTGAGGCCTGGAGGCTCAAACGTATTCTTCACAAGAAAGTAGAAGAACTGAAAGAACAGACATGATGTGAGTTTATAAGTAGACTGTTCATCTCATACATGATCTGAGAGCTCAGACTGAGAGGAGCTGTGTCTGTGTCGGTGTGTTGTGTTTGACTGAGGCTTTGGCTGGAAACATTCAGCTCAAATATTTCAAATAGGTGATTATGGACAAAAGTATGAGAGAGAGGAGGAAAGTCATAATGATGGTCAAATATCAAATGTAAGGTTCTGCTGTTTATGCTTTCTACAAACTGAAGTAAATACACCACAGTTCATGTCTGAATCAAATCTCAACACAGATTTAATGAAAACAAGACAGGGACCTGTGGTTAACATCACTCTAAAAAATCAATGAGTTTTCTCTAAGGATCACACGCCTTAAATCTTCATCAGACAGAACACCTGAATGTGTTTGTGTCAGCTGCTGGTGTGTAAAAGAATCAGAGGCTCGTCTGACATCTTGGAAATGATTTTGTCATTTTCTTCAAATGGATGAGTGACCATCTGAAATCTGGTCTGATGAGCATCACATAGCTCCACATTAGAGTTTTATTGAGCCTGTCCACTGTCCACACTTTGGTCTGAGGCTCTTAAAATAACACGTCAGATATAAATGTGCATTTATATCCAAGAAACACAGAAAATCAGTAAGTCTCTCTCTCTCTCTCTCTCTCTCTCCCTCTCTCTCTCTCTCTCTCTCTCTCTCTCTCTCTCTGTTATTTTTATCCATTCATCAAGAAAATCTCACATTTCCAACAGCACTAAAAACAAACCCAGTATAAGCTGTGTTTCTATTAGGATGTACAGGTGATATATTATTAATATATATATTTGTATATACATACTGTATATTAATTATACTTATATAACTTATATATTATAAGTTTGTCCTGTGTGATGCAGCTCGCCAAACATTTATCCTGACTGTGGAATTGTATCATATCACATCTCTTGTATCACTTGATGAAACAAGTCACTGGACAGACACCAGACTGCAACCTCCATCCACCTCTCCTCCAGCTTAGGTGGGCGGAGCTCTGACTCGTTAATGTGTCGAGCAGGTAGAGTTGTGATGAGTTTGGGTGAGATGTCGTTGCAGTGCTGCCCTCCACTCCTCCCTCCCTCCCTCTCCCCCTCTAGACATCACAGAAGCTATTTCCTCTCTGAAAGTAGGCTATACTTGGCAAACACATAGAGAGGGGAGAATTGCAGGGGGAGAACAGCCCTGCTGCTCCTGATGAAAGCTGCTCCATCTCTGTGCTTTACCTCTGTGAGTCTGTCCTCAGCTGCAGGATTTACAGGCAGGGCCAGCTCTCTCTGGCCAGGTCCATCGATCTCTCCTCTAATGCTCATCTGAAAGCAAGTCAGGTGTTACATGGCTTTTTTCTCCACTCTGTTACTGCAGGCTCACTTTTTCTCCTCCAGCCTCTTTAAAGCTGTTTTATTCCTTAAATTTCCCCATAAGCAGCTCTGAAGGAAACAGTGTATGTGTGACAGCTTCACACATACAGTGTATTCTGCTTGTTCCATGGTGGGTAGGTAATTCAAACCCAGGAAAATATATATCAATTAGTGAACTTTTGGTATTTTTTGAAATGTTTGGGGTTAGAATAGACGTTTCCTTCACAGAGAAGGTGGGCTCTGTTCACACATACAGTCTGTCTCCTCTCATGTCCTGAGGCATGTGGAAATGTTAGATACTGAGCATGTGATTTGTATACTAAGCTCTGATTGGACAGCTATTTGCTCCAGTTGTCACTGATGAAGAAGATCATTTCCAGAGTGATGTGTTTCCATGCATCACTTCATTTATTCAAATCTCAGCAGCTCGTTATACAGTGGATATATACACTGTATATACTGTATAGAGAGAAGTGAAAGCTCTTTATGTAACTGAGTGGAGCTGTGTACAAGTGGGCTTCTGTTGTGCATCATTCTCTCCAGTTGTTGCAGGGTGAAAGTTCAATCTTTAAATGACAGAAATGACCCATCTTAAGTCTGTGGGTGTGGTTGGTGTTGAGTTGTGGATGGTGGTGCCAGCTTCCTTCTGTAATGGCTCCAGTGATAGGGTTATGCCTCGTGGACTCCTGTGTCCTCCCTGAGACAAACTGAAGGATGTGTAGAATTCATTTTGTTGCCTGATGAGTCTGTTTTTCATGGTTTGGTTTCAAATGAGGTCAATCGTGTATAAGTCAAAAGCAACTGGAGATTCTTGAAGACATTTTGGGTCTCATTGAAATGACTTCTCCATGAGCCGAGATACACAGCAGTGTATCAACAAGAAGACATGGATGTTAACCATGCTGGAGGAAGAAACACGTTAGTTAGACATAAGAGACACAAACATTGATGTAAAGAGGAATCACCACAGGGAACCTGGAACCTCTGCAGGCTTGTTTACACCTTCACAGTCTCCGAGGTCACATGTGGGCTGTTAGTCCACCTGGCTGTCAGGTGAAAGGTGTAGGAGTCCCACAACTCCAGGTTTGAATGGGTGTTAAACTGCCTGGGAAAGGATGTCACTTTAATTGAAGGGAAGCTGTTCAGACTGAGGAGTGTGGGCAGGACAAACCTGATTGGCCAAGGCAGGACCGTGCTGGATGGCATCATGTTGCGATGCAGTAAAAACTGAGTCAGGTTGAACTGTTTTGTCAGAGCTTGGGTGTTGGCACCCAGCTGTGTTAACGAACCGACTCCATTCAACATGTCTAGCAGTATAACAGGACAACATGTTTTTTATTCTACATGTCCTTTAATATTGTGTTTGTATTCTTCATCTTGAAATAAAGACAACATGTCAACATGGACTCTGTGGTGCGTTCAGCAGGGATGGAAAAGTTACAGTTAGATGTCTAACATTATCAAAGCACAGCACACACGCAAACACTCACACACACACACACACACACACACACACACACACACACACACACACACACTCACACACAGGTGATTGATGGTTTTGTCCACTTAGTCTGACGTATGTCTCTATCTTCCTGTCTTCCACAGTGAGCTTCATGGACTGCGGTGGCGGTAAGGTCTGGTTCAACGTTGGAGAGTCGTCTGATTTCAGGGTGAGTGAGGATGGTGTGGTCCTCACCCTACGGCGCCTCAGCCTGGCGGCACAGAAAAAAGCCATGGTGGTGGTCTACGCTCAAGACCTGCAGTCCAAACAAGTCTGGAAGACTAGAGTGCACCTCCAGGTCCATCCAGACGGCAACAGCACAGGCCCTGAGCAGGTAAAGCAGGTACAGAGCTGTGTCATATGGACTTTTCTGTTGGCTGTGAATAAGCAGAACAAGCTTCTTCAGTTAGAGCTCCTGCTCTGCAGAGAGTCAGCTGTCTCATTATCTTCTGTTTACATTCATCCCTTCATTCAGTTAAAAGAAGAGACAGGTCTTTGTTTTTCATTTCCTTTTCTAAGTATATTGTAGGAAATCTCTGAGCAGCACAGAGACACATGCACCCCCCGACACCAGGCTGAATACAAATACAACACAATGATGTCAGTTGTCTACAGTGGTTCAACAACAGTTTTCAGCTGCAGTTTCCCACATTGACCATTCACAGTCCAGACCGATACTAGGTTTGGTTTTAATTTATGAAATAAACTTGTTATGAAATACAGTACTAAATTGGACTAAAAGCTTTCATGTTTCCTTCAAGGTGATTTTTAATTTCTCTGTGTTCTCTAAACTCAAGGTTCATATAATGTCTGTAGTCAGGTGAGACAGTATAAACATAATGCGCAGGTCATGGTGGATGAATCGGTCAGAGACAGTGCTTTCACCAGGACACTGGACTTCAATTTCCGGTATTATTATTGACTTGACTTACTCTTTTCACTCTTCTCTTTATTTTCATCTGAAACCTTTCTGCCAGAAAGCTTTAAAACGAACTTCTCCCATGTGCAGGAGCTCCACGTTGTCATGTGCACCCTGAATGACAGGCACACACAGAAGTAAGGAGACAGACAGGAGACAGAAGAGATGTTAAACTCTTTAAGGATTTTTTTGACCGTACACCGGCCCACCGATGTGATGGCTCACTGGCATAGCGGTCCACTGGGATTTCTCCAGGTGCTCTCAAAGGCCATTCGACTATGATTCACAATAATCACTCAAAATCAGTTGGAGGAGGCTCTCTCTCGCTTTCCCTTTATAAATAAAGAAAAAAACTGAAAATAATCTGTCCCCAACTTTAATAAGTCAAAAAATAAAATGAGCCTCAGTCTCCTGTGTATGACCCATTCATCCGCCACAGCCTTTGTGGTTATTGAACTACCACACACTACTGGGAGAAAGCCTTTACTGATTAAAATACACTTATATGAACCTTGTGTTTAGAGAACAGGGAGAAATTAATTCGCAGTCTCTTGTGGCTGAAATGAGTATTACAAAACAAACACTGACAAAGAAAAAACAAAAAAAACATCCACTTGCCTCTCGGGGCTTCCACAGTGTTGAAATTGCCATTTAAGGAAACTTGTGATGGACATTTTTAATTTTTCTGACCTTTTTAGATTAAATAAATTATACATTATTAAACATGTGCAATGCTAACTTGGTTAATAGGATCATGACTGGAAAGATATGGTCTGTAATAAGATCAAGTTTTCTTCCAACTATTATGTTTTGTTAATTCCAAAGACTAAGTTGTTCATCCCCTGTACACACTGCACCCCTCACTCTCTATATGAAGATCAACTTTCATTATGTCATTACCTATGTTTTTGATTTAATTTTTCTTCCGTAGAGCACTTTGTGCTGTAATTATGTATGAAAGGTGCTATACAAAGTTTATTGTTATTATTATTATTATTATTAGTAGTAGTAGTAGTAGACTTGGGCTGATGTTTTATCTGTGTTTTATTATTTATTATTAAAAAACTGATACATATGATACAATATATAATTTATGTTGTTAAAAAAATCAGAAACATAAAATACAATCATAGTTATGTATTTATATAAAAACACCTGAATCATAACATACAGTAATATAATTATGTAATCATAGAGCCTGACAGCATGAACACATACCTGGATGTGAGTCAGTGTCTGTGAAATTTTCTGAGAGAGAACTGTATAATTTTGGACAAGCAGAATCATTAAACGTGATGGGCTGTTACTTCCCCCCGCGCCTCCAGTAATGTTGGATGAACTATGTACAGATATAAAATCACAGCTTTTTCAGCCCAGCAGGCGTCTGAGGTTGGCCAAGTACTGACTGCAGAGACAAAGCAAGTCAAAGAGCCATCTGTTAGTTTGTTTCATGTACAACAGCGATAATAAGGCCCTCTGAATGTATTTAGACAAGACACTGGCCTTGATTGGCTGTTCTTCTAAACACAGCCCAGAAATAGCTGGCTGCCGTATGCCTGAGCCTCTATCAGCAGAGAGTGAGTGAAGCTGTCAACAATTCCTCACAAGGAAAACACATGAGCAGCATCTATGGCAGCTAACAACCAGTCATTTGGCAGGGGAGCAGTGTCAGCACTGTGACCGGACCAGGGTTGTTATCACATGAAACTGAAGAGGCATCACATTCAGAGCCCAGTGAATGTCAGGAAATCAACACCTCACTTACTGTGTATCAAGTGTTTAGTCTGACTGTTGTGGACACCAGTTCTGTCATATGCAAAATATACTTAATTCTTCAATGTATCAGCCTCAGTTGCAGAGAAAACCAGACTTTTATTTAAAACAGGCTCATATTACCGCAGGCCTTTACTAGCAGTATAACAGGAATATTTCATCATAATTTAGTGAGAAGCCTCATTAATTTCTATTAGACTTCTGTTATAAATTTCTGTTAAATGTAGATTTCCAGATCATTATTTCATGTTATACTACTGCTCTGTATATTCAATAATAATATACATAGTGTATATATATATAGATATACAGAGTATTATACAGAGTCTGTATAGTCAATCATTTGTTTTACTTTGCTATTTTAAACATTTTAAATTTTACTCCTTTCACACAGCTGTTTAATGTGAAAAGAGAAAATGCTTCTATTTTGAAAGACGACTTTATTGACATTGTTTGATGGCACCAGTAGAGAGAACTTGTGGTTGTGTGGTGTGTGCTGTAACCACAAGTTTACTGTGGTGCTCCTCTAGTAGGCTTTTAATGTGAAACATCCTGCAGGAAGTGTTGTTTCATTGACAACTGAAAGAATGGCTAAGTAGAAATGATGTGAATGAATTAGTGAATGAGAATAGTTTGTGTTAATCACAGCAGAGTGGTGAGTGTAACACGATGCTGCTGATGAATTATTGCTTTTGAACAGTGAGGAACAGAAACCAGAACAGTCACACACATGTCATCACTGTGAATGTCTTACATTCTTACATGCTCTCTGAATCACTCAAAGCTCCTTTGACTGATTACAGATGATGTCACTGTTTTCTTTCATGTGCATGGATCTCGACCTGTTTCTCTGATGTAATCAGTCTCTTCCTCATGATATCAATATCTTCATCTCTCACCCCAACCAAGGTCTAGAGAAACCTGGTGTCATGTTTGACAACGAGCTCTCCTTCTCTGGCCATGTTGCATCGTCTCCTGGTGGTGTCTCTTCGCTCTATACAACATCAGAAAAATCAGGTCTTCCATGACTCAGTACTCCACCCAGTTCTTGCTCCAGACTATGGTTATTTCTAAGTGCTGTTCTGGTAGACCTCCCTTCACACAGTGAAACCCTCACAGATGATCCAGAATGTAGAAGTCCGTCTGGTCCTCAATCAGCCTAAAAGGTCACATGTCACTCTGCTGCTCATCGACCTCCACTGTCTACCCATGACCAGCATTAGAGACTGAATCAGATTCAGTCTCTAATGCTGCCTTCAGAGTGACTTCTGAGTATGCTCCATCTACTTGAACTCAATCATTCAGCTTGATGCTTCTTCTCAGCCACTGAGTTCCTCCAGTGAATGTGGTCTGTCATCATCATCCCTGCACACAAGACAGTCTCAGTCCAGATTCTTCTGGTCTGTGGTTCCCTGATGGTAGAACAAGCTACCAAAGTCTATCAGAGCAGGAGTGTCCCTCTATCTTCAAGACTCATCTCTTCAGAGAGCACCTCCTCTCCTAACACCCTATCACCCGAACATGTCTAACTAGCTCCTACTGTGAACTACACTTATTAAATACATGTAGTAGTTAGTACTTACACGTAGGCCTCCTACTGCACTGAAGCTTCAGTGATGTCCCTCACTGGTAGTCATGTAATATGTTCTGTCTTCTGTTTGTATTGTTAGTAATGTACCTGATTACCTTTCATGTAATGACTCTGATCTCTTCATTACTCTTCTTTTAAATATATTTTTACTAAATAAATTCCATAATACTTTATGCCTCCATAGTCAGAGCCTGAACCCCCCCCCCCCACACCCACCCACACACACACACACACACACACACACATGCAGTGACAGGTGGTGGTCATTTATCAGATGGACTATAATGAGAGCATTAATCCAACCCACTGGAATGAGGTCAGAAATACCCTGAGTCACCAAGGCCTCCCAGCTGGACGGCTCTGCAACTCAGCCGTGCTGTGTGTGTGTGTGTGTGTGTGTGTGTGTGTGTGTGTGTGTGTGTGTGTAGCCCACTAAACAACGCTTGTTTACTGTCTCTGCAGGTAAAGCTTGATGATGCAACACTGACTCAGAGGGTACCAGTGATCTTGTTTCCATGGCGCAGCGTGGTTGTCAGGGGTGATGGTACTCTTAGGCGTGTGAAGAGGGACTGGGTCATTCCGCCTATCAACGTCCCCGAGAACTCACGAGGACAGTTCCCCGAGGACCTAGTCAGAGTAAGACACACACACACACACACACACACACACACACACACAGGCAGACCAAATGGTATTCCAGCAGTCGCGAGCATAAAACCTAAAAGCAGCTTCACCATTTTTGCATTTAACTCTTGCGACACCGGAAGGCGTGTACCATCTGACCAGTCCAACCAGCCTGTCAGAGACACACTGTGGAGCAGGAGAGTGCAGAGCTCTCTATACAGAAAGTGTAGAATGAAGTTGAAGCCGATACCTGGCTCACATGGGACAGAAATGTTTAAGTCCATGATTGTGCAGCATACATGATGCTGTGAAACATAAATACACTGAACAGCAGAGGACCAAGAACTGATCCCTGAGGGACACCACATATAACATCTAACTGTCTAAACATAATGGTGAGATTTGCTGAGAGATGTGTGCTGCAGGTTTTCAGCTCCTTGACTGACTCTGGTTCCTCCCTCCACACAGAGGTGGGGCTTCAATGACATCACCAATCTCAGGAAATAAATGATCTTCATTACAAAATATTTACTTTGGCTAACTCCACCTGAGAAGAACTGTTAGAATCACTGAAGATATTACTTAAAGGTATTATAAAAGGACATGAAGTATTAGACAAAGAAGATGTAAGGTACAGACTGAACTACAACCAGACAGAGAGAGAGATGGATGGATGGAGCAGTAGATGATGTTGATAGGGATGAGACTGCTTGTTAACCTTACAGTAATCAGATACTGTGCACATTAAAGGTCCATATAGTAAAAAGGTAAATATCCGTTTTTTGATTATAAAGCAGGTCTGCTCTCTCAGCAAATCTCACCATTGATGTTTAGACAGTTAGATGTTATATGTTGGTGTCCCCTCAGGGATGCAGTTCTTGGTCCTCTGCTGTTCAGTGTATTTATGTTTCACAGCATGCATGTATGCTGCTGACAGCAAGTCATAATCATGGACTTAAACATTTCTGTCCCATGTGAGCCAGGTATCGGCTTCAACTTCATTCTACACTTTCTGTATAGAGAGCTCTGCACTCTCCTGCTCCACAGTGTGTCTCTGACAGGCTGGTTGGACTGGTCAGATGGTAACGCCTTCCGGTGTCGCAAGAGTTAAATGCAAAATGGTGAAGCTGCTTTTAGGTTTTATGCTCGCGACTGCTGGAATACCATTTGGTCTGCCTGGTGTGTGTGTGTGTGTGTGTGTGTGTGTGTGTGGTCTTACTCTGACTGGGTCCTCGGGGAAACTTCCTCGGTGAGTTCTCGGGACGTTGATAGGCGAGATGACCCAGTCCCTCTTCACAGCCTAAGAGTACCATCACCCCTGACAACCACGCTCGCGCCATGGAAACAAGATCACTGGTACCCTCTGAGTCAGTGTTGCATCATTAAGTCTTTACCTGCAGAACAGTAAACAAGCGTTGTTTAGTGGGCTACACACACACACACACACACACACACACACACACACACACACACAACACACCCCAACAACCACCCAC